CAAATAATCTGTTGTATTGTGACCTCTGAATCATTTAATATAGGTTATATTTTGAAATTTCGTTTGTCTGTGCGTGATTTATTGGGCTTCGTTCTTGAAAATGATAGAATTCACAACTCAGTAATGAAGACTGATTTAAAATCTATAAATTAATTTCCTGAAAATTCAGGTGGTGCCCCATTGTTATGCTAATAATTACGAGGTATTTATGATCTAGCATTGTCCATAACATCGACAAACAGCATATCCCTACACATATGAACTTGTCCCAGAAGCTTACAGACAAAGGTTTCGTGGTTTGAGAAAAACAGAAAATCAGAGTTATGCAGAGTTTGGTCACAGCATTTCCACATCATTTAATCGTTGGTGTACATCACAAAKAGTAACTACTTTTGACGAACTGCGTCAGTTGGTTTTGTTGGAGCAGTTTAAAAACTGTCTTCCAGAAAAAAATAACAACTTACTGTATCTCAATGAACAAAAGGTGACAAAGTTGTGTGATCCAGGTGTTTTGGCTGATAATTATGTGTTAACGCATAAAGATTATTTTGGCAAACAAGAACATAGACCTAGTAGTCAAAATGTACACAAAGACAAGTGGTTATTTAATGGTGAAAAACGTTCTGAACAAAYACATTTTCAGAAAAGTTTTGTTCAACGCAGTGACAAGTTTTGCACTCACTGTAATAAACGTGGTCACATCAGATCAGACTGTTTTCTACTTCAACGACAKGCTAAATCTACAGGTTACAAACCGAAGGCAGTTGGTTTGGCAGCCCCGGTTGAAAAAGTGTTCAAGGAGAATAAGYTAGTTGAATCTTCTGATGTCAGTGTGTCCTACTTGCCATTCATTCGAGAAGGATGTATTTCTTTACATGGTGGTAAAGACAAGGTTCGAGTTAAGATATTGAGAGACACAGGTGCTTTTGACTCATTTATTCAAGCTGATGTTTTGCAATGGACAAATGAATCAGACACAGGTACATGTGTTCCTATAAGAGGAATGGGTATGAACATACTGTCAGTTCCATTACATAAAGTGCAGTTAGAGTGTGACCTGTTTAATGGAGAAGCATCACTAGCTATACGTCCAGCCTTGCCTATGGAAGGTATTTCGATCATCTTAGGTAATGGTTTGGTGGGTGATCGTATGTGGTCAGAAAAAACTCAAACCACTCAATCAGTTCAAGAAGTAACTACAACAGAACCACAGGTGATTTATCAAACTGATTAAAATGAAAAAGAGTTTCCAGAGGTGTTTGTTGCTTGTGCAGTGACACGTTCCATGTCAAAACAAAAAGAACAGCAGAAGACAGATCACTGAAAGTACCTTTGCCGTTGTCTAACTTTCCTATGCTTGTTTCTCGCAGCGGACTCGCAGCAGAACAAAAGGCAGATACTACTTTGAAAACACTGTTTGACGACGTTCGTCCTTACTCTGAGTTGATCGAGAGTGTTCATGGTTTGTTCATTTAAGAAGGTTTATTGGTGAGAAAATGGGTACCACATTTAGAGATGTTGGGTAGTCCAATTTTTCAGATTGTTGTGRCACATAAATATAGAACAGCCATATTAAAAACAGCTCATGATGAATCTGGCCATTCTGGAGTGAAAAAAAACATACGACAGAGTGTTGCGACATTTCTTCTGGCCTCGTCTTAAACGAGATGTATCTGGTTACATTAAAACATGTCATGTTTGTCAGTTAACCTCCAAACCCAATCAAACTTTGAAACCAGTTCCGTTGGCTCCGATCGAAACAAAAGCAGAACCATTTGACCATCTGGTGGTAGATTGTGTTGGGCCTTTGCCTAAATCTGTCAGGTTCAGCTTATTTGCTTACAGTCATAGGTAGTGCAAGAAAGCACAGGGTTTAGCCCTAATGAGTTAGTCTTTGCACATAAAGTGAAAGGACCTTTAGCGGCAGTGGCAAGTGATTGGTTGCAGTCTGATCCTCCAGCTAATATGGTGGATTACGTAAATGTTTTCGTAAGCGTCTGTACACAGCCAGAGAGTTGGTAAAAGACAAGTTAACAGCTTCTCAATCTAAAATGAAAGTTCTGTTTGACAGAAAGTCTGAGGACAGATCATTCRTACCTGGTGATCAAGTCTTAGTTTTGCGTACGGTTATCACATCTCCTTTTCAAGCTAAGTTTACTGGTCCGTACACTGTCCTTGAGAAACTGACAGAACAGAACCACCTAATTTCAATGCCAGAGCGGAGGAAAAAACAGCAAGTGTGTCATGTCAACTTACTGAAAAAGTATTTCAAACGTGATCCTGAATTACAAGATCCTGTTGAGACTTTGCTGAGTCCAGTGGGTGCTTCAGTACAGGTTAATCTGTCTGAAACTGTTCACATTAACACTGAACATGAAAATGGGATCACTGAGAAGGTTTTGCTAAGTGGTAAACTTAAWAACTCAGAAACATTACAAAATCTGAATAATTTACTACAACACTTATCTAAAGATCGTGCTGACCAGTTAAGTTCCTTAATTAATGAATATTTGTGTTTGTTTTCAGATTCGCCAAGTCAGACACATCTCATAGAGCATGACATAGACTTGGAAGACACAAAGCCTGTAAGACAGAGGTTTTACAGAGTCAATCATGACAAAAAGAAGTGTTTGGACAAAGAGGTTGCTTATCTCTTGGACACTGGTATGGCTAAACCAAGTCATTCTGGTTGGTCATCACCGTGTATCTTAGTCCCGAAATCTGATGACACTTTTCGTTTTTGTACGGACTACCGGAAACTTAACTCGGTCARGAAAACAGATAGTTTCCCTTTACCTCGAATGGATGATTGCATTGATCAGGTCGGCTCAGCTACTTTTGTTAGCAAATTCGATCTGTTAAAGGGTTATTGGCAGGTACCTTTGACAAAGCGTGCATCGGAGGTGTCGTCTTTCATAACACCTTCTGGCTTGTATCAATATACAGTGATGCTGTTCGGATTGAAGAACGTGCCTGCAACCTTTCAACGTCTGATGAACTTGGTGATTGGTGACATGCCTGGCTGTGCGATATATCTCGACGATGTTGTGGTCTACTCAGACACATGGGAGCAACATCTCCAGCACATCAGAGAGCTATTCGAGAGGTTGGCAACAGRGAGACTCACTGTGAACCTGTCTAAGTGCGACTTTGGTAAGGCTACAGTCACTTACCTGGGCCATGTGGCCAGACAGGGTAACATCTGTCCAGTAGCGGCCAAGGTGGAAGCTATTCAGAAGTTCCCTGTTCCCCAGACGAAGAAGGAGCTAATGCGCTTTCTTGGTCTGGTGGGATATTACAGAAGTTTCTGTAGGAATTTCTCCATCATTGTGGCTCCACTAACTAATCTGCTTCACACACAGGTTAAATACGAGTGGTCTCAGACATGCCAGACAGCCTTCGAAAAAGTCAAAWGTCTCCTGTGCGCGTCCCCAGTTTTGGCAACACCGTGTTTCACCAAGCCTTTTACACTATATATTGACGCAAGTCAGGTGGGCGCAGGTGCCATGCTGACACAAACAGATGAGCTGGGAATTGGCAGGCCAGTCTCATATTTTTCTAAGAAGTTCAATAAACATCAACTGAATTATTCAGTTGTAGAAAAAGAAACACTGGCCTTGATTCTTGCTCTCTCCCATTTCGATGTTTACTTGAGTGGTGGTAAAAAAGTAGTGGTTTACATGGACCACAACCCACTTACCTTCTTAGCTTCTTTAAAATGTCCCAACCAGCGACTCACATGCTGGTTGTTGTTCCTTCAGTCGTATAACTTGGACATTAATTTCATTAAAGGAAAGGACAATGTTGTAGCTGATGCATTGTCATGTGCGCCAGTTATGTAAATAGGGTTTAAACTGGAAAAAAGAAAAAAAGAAAAAAGAAAAAAATGGGATTTAGGGTTTTTGCCATTCTCTTGTGTTGTTTTTTGTTAATTGCTTTTCTTTTCTTGTTTTCTAGTTAGTTTGAGTGCACCAGTTGCTGACGATGGGACAAGTTTGGGACTGCGGTGGCATTGACACATGGGTGATGGTGTTTTTTTAAATTTTTTTTTGTAAATAGTTTTTTTCTTCTAGTTTTGGTTTAGCGCAGGGTTCCAGATGGAACCTGCTTTTTTTATGGTAGGGGGTGTGACGGCCCTGCTGCTAAATTAATTGCAGCCAGCTGACGCCGACTTCCTTAATTGTGCTTCCTCACCAGGTCATCCTTAGGGGTGTGGCCTGTACCTTTTTGAAGCGCGCACCTGGAGTGCTGAGGAGCGCTGTGTGGCTGGCGAGAAATCTGAGGTTCATCGCTCAGCGCTCTGCGGCTTGTGATCGCTCTGTGGCTGATGGTGGCTTGTGCTGTCGGTCTGCTGCTGCTGCTCTCATACGGCGTGCCTCACGGGAGAGACATCCTGCTGARGTGCGGATGCCGAGTCAGGGTTTTCGGAGCTAGAGAGAGGACATTGAAACGCGGACGCAGAGGTGCATGGAGGACACAAGTCGAGGAAACCAGACCACAGACTTGCTCGTAACAGGTGGAATGTAAACCTAGACCACGGACTTCAGAGGGTACAGCTTGGTGAGAAACGTCCGGTGCATTCGGGAGCTACGGAGCACCGAACCGGACCAACAAACTCACCTATTCCTAGACAAAATTTTAATAAATACCTTTTAAGGTTTTAAACTGGTTCCACTGTGTAGTGTCTTCACAAATGTTATGGCTCTTGAGCCGGGTCGTAACAAGGGCTAAAGCTGGAGTTCTGCTGCTGGGCATTACACATTGCAAAGACCTTTTGATCTCTTGTCCTAGGCTCAGGACATGGCTTGATGCAATCAGGAGCAACTAACTCTGCTATTACATAGTTAGCGGGCAATGTGATGTCATGTTTAGTTTCATTTCTCAACACAATGGGGACTTTATATGGGGCCTGTTGTGGCAGAGAGATTAAGCAACAATCTACAAACAAGCCACCGGGAAGGGAGGATGTTGTAGCCTTTTCTGTAAATTCACACTTGTCAGATGTAGCATGAGTTCCGTTCAGAAAACCTTCAAGCAGAATTTTTTGATTAGCAGGAAGGACTACTTGGCTCTTACCCTTAAGTTTAACTAAGCCAGTCTAGCCACATTCTTTTTTTTTCCTTTCTCATTGCTAATGTGTTTAGTACTTGCTGATACCCATAAGGGAGTGTCATGATATCAGGTAAGGTATCCTCACAAAGCTGTTCATACAAGGGGTCAAGAGTATTTGTGCCTGTTAGAAGAGGTGTGTCTGAGTTTGAGCGAAAGTCAGGGACAACTAGAGCAAGAGTAGATAGTTCAAGTCTAGATTGGTCAATATCTTTGGGAAACTTTATGCTTGCTTCTATATATCCCAAGTAAGGGACCGCCTGGCCATTCGCACCTTCAACCTCAAGGAAGTCACTAATTGTCTTGATGGGATGATCAGATAAGTGTTCTTGGTAGAAGGACTTAGCTATAGTAGTTACTTGAGAGCCTGAATCGAGCAAGCAACTACAGTCAACACCAGTGACAACAACTGTAGATGTACATTTCCTGCCCACAAGTCTTTTTTGGAGATTTAGGCAGTGGATGGACATTAGCTGTCTCAAGAGAAAATTTTCTCATTGCATTATTTTTATCATGAGAAAATTTTCTCATTCCATTATTTTTTATCATCTTCTTAGTGGGACATGGTTCAATTCTAGCACCTATCTCTCCCACGATAGGAGCTTTTTCTAGTTTAAATCACAGGACTCTGTGACTTTATGGAGCATTTCCCACTCTCGCTGTTTTTTTCTAAGAGCATTTCTTTTTGCTGCTACTAGTGAGGGATTGAGGTCATTGCTACAACTGGAGGCAATATGACCATCCTCACCACATCGGAAACAGTACCCAGGTTTAGGCTTGGATATAAATGCTGCAATTTGTTGCATCTCTTTTGGTTCACTCTGAGTTTCAGCAGTTGGTTTCGTTTTTGTTCCTTTTGATGTTTCTTTGATCTTTTCTCTGTCTTGTTGGCTTTAAGTTGTGCAATCTGAACTTGAAGGTCAGCTGCATCATGGTCCATCTCAGGTTCAAAGCTGTTCCTGTCTTGGGAGCATGTCATTTGCATCTTTAAATAAACTCGAGTCTTTTGGATTCCCAAGTGCTCTTTCATGCGTGTCTCTTTACTAGTCTGTTTGTCCTCTTCAGTGTGGAGTTGAAGTAGTAGTTCTGAAAATTGAAGCGAGTCACCGTTCTTTTGTTCAAGACAAAGCTTTGCAATCAGTGAGCTGTCCCAACAGCCTCTGCAAAATTGTTTGAGTAGCTGTTTGCTAACATCACCTTGGGAAATACCATTTCTCTGTACGACTTGAGTTTAATACTGTGAACAGTCTCTGCAGGTAATCTGAGGGTTTTTCACCAGCATTTTGGTTGGTGTTCAGGAAACAGACAAAGAGTTCATCACCATCCTCTACAGCAGCATAGGCAGAATCAAGGTGCTCAAGGTACGTTTTTGGAGTTGCTTTTGGGCCAAGGGTTTTCGCAATGTTGGCTGCAGGGGGTGACAAACTTTCAACTATTTTCTGTACAACTTGGGTTTCAGTGAGTGAAGGATCAGTCAAACAAAACTCTACACTACCACGCCAAGTTTCATAATCCGTTTCAAAAGAAGGATGAGGGACCCTCCCAGAGAAAGGTTTTAGTCTGTACTGTGTGTTTGGTGTAGCAGCTTCATGGTTTTTGATAATATGTTCCACAACAACTCTCTGCACCCCAGCGTTGTTTAAATGGTCAGCAGGAAGCTGAGGCGTTTGCATCACTGTCTCTGTAAGTGGCTGAGTACCATTAAGGGCACTTACATGGTCGCTACTGGATGATTGAGGTGGTGACGTTTGGGTCATGTTACTGGAGTGCACTGGCTCTTGTTCAGTTGCAAGTTCATCTGGATGGGTTTCCTCTCTAATTGACTTCCCCAATTTTGCAAGTTCCTCCTTCAAAATGTCGTTGAATGATCGGTTGCTTCGTGCTGCTACAGCTTTTAGCTCTGTTAAATATAGGCCAGTAGCTGATGCGCTGGTTTCAATGCTATAAGCGCTGGCTAGGTTTTGAATATGATAAATAACTCCAGGTTTTGTGACACAAGGTCTGTCACAAGGCAAATGCTGTTTTCCTAGTTCTTTAGCAGTGGCTTCATGTTGATATGCCACAATAGACTGTCCACCAGTTTGAAATTCAATTAGCCTGCTGAAAGGGCCGAACCCTTCAAGGAACTCAAATATTTCATGGTCAACATCTGTATTAGTTAACCCACTGACCAAAACAGCATTTTGAACTTTAACATTCTTGGTTTTCAAATTCTCCATTTTTTAAATACCAGCAATACAAAAAGTTACTCACTGTGAAGCTCCAGACACTGTGTTATTTTTTCAAGTTTAAAAGAAAATATTTATTTTAGCCCTCCTGGCTGGCTCGCCAATTTTGTAACCTCTTCAAGATATAATAAGAGGTTGGACCAATGACTAGGTTTGTAGGAGGACTAAGGTAAGAAGTGCAATGCAGAAGAATTACTGGAGTCACAAGTAAGTTGC